GTCTCTACTTCCTGTCCTCTTCCTGTTGGGGAGGGGGGGTCACGTGACAGTCAGCTGCTCCTTTGTGTTGACAAACAGCGTGATAGATTAGGTATTGGTAACCAGTGACATGCTGATCTGAAGCAGCTGCAGCGCCGTTGGTTTCCTGCCTGCTGGTTTTAAACTGGCTTCCCTCAGCGGGATCACACACACGTTTAACTCTTTTAAAGCTGGTTTAGCTTTTTTGGGGCGTCAACAGCTTCTCTGATCACATGACCGCTTTATCAGGAAAACTAAACCTGTGTCACATTTAGATGTGCTAATAAACCAGCTTCTGCTCTGAGCTATCAGGCCCTGAAACTGCTAACGCTGGCTTGTTATCTCCAGATGGCCCTGAAGCTAAAACCTGGATTTAAACACGGTGGAGTCACGCGTGAAGACACAAGGATGATTGTTTTACTGCTGCTCAGACACAGCGCTGAACGTGTCAGAGGATTCCTGATCAATAACCAATAAATCCTCAAATCAGCTGCAGTAAAAAGCTCCAGAGCGCTGTCTGAGCGCGCTCTGTGACCACATCAGCCTGGGCTCCTCTCACTTTAGAGCTCAACAACAAAAACCAGAGAAACGCCGACTGAGCACGCTCAGACGCGTCCTGGTCACAGCTGATGATCACAGAGTAAACTGAGAGTGAACAGGATGCTTCCTCGTTTATCGTTTTATTCTCATGTTTATTTATTTCCCCCGTGTTTGCTGATTGGCTCTCTCAGATTTTATCTTGATGTAAATAAAACACGTTAACTAAACGTTTGACGCTTTTATAAAAGTGCAAAAGTTTTCAGTTTCAGTTTTACTGTAACGCACAAAATATAAAATGATTTTTGAGTGACTCTGATCAGCACAAACACGCCGTTTATCTTCTAAACAGCAACTTTAAGTCACAGTTGAGATTTCTCTCATGTTTTACGTTAAAACTAAAACAGTGAACACAAACACATCAGCTGTTTCCACCTCAAACTGTCTGCTGCTCTGATTTTATGTGAGCTGAACTCAAACGTGACAGAAACAAGTGTCCTCGACCTTGACCTTTGACCTGCTAACATGTCACTACTGTGGAGGCTCCTTAGCATGAGTGAAGAAGTAAACCGCACAACGACAGCCCTCATCAGAGCCTCAGAGCCCCACACACTCCACGCCGTCGCCCTGTAGAGGCTCACAGAGGCCGGAGGCTGACCCGCAGCCTCGGTATGAGCAACGGACCCAAACAGTTAGTCAGCTACTCATGAACGTGCAGGTAAAGGTGTGCACAGCTCACTACTGCACCTGCTTACAGTCTTCTCACTGTGCAGAGGAATCCTGAAACCACAAACCCTGAACACGAAGCTGCTGATGGGACAGAGGAGCGAAGAAAGCGAGTTTACTGCAGTAGAGTCAGAGAAATCAGACTTTACTGCAGTAAACTCGCTTTCTTCGCTCCTCTGTAATAAAAACGATTTCCTAAAGTCTGATTTCTCTGACTCTACTGCAGTAAAGTCTGATTCTACTGCAGTAAAGACTGATTTCTCTGACTCTACTGCAGTAAAGACTGATTCCACTGACTCTACTGCAGTAAAAGCACATCAGTCTACTTTTGTGGACTTTTGTTTGAATGTTTGTCGAACTTCTCTGAGCTGGATGTAAAAACTCATTAACCACAGAAGAAGAAAGGTGTGTGACTGAACCTCTCTGAGGATCGATGGGTCTGTAACATTACGTCATCGTGTCTGGGCCGATGCGGGCTGATCGATCAGCAGCTGTGTGTATTGATCAGTACTCACCTTCCTCCGCCCTGCAGGAGCCCAGCAGCAGCGGGAGGAGCAGCAGCAGCAGCCCGCGGCAGGAGGAGGCCCGGCCGTGGGCCGCGGGGCCCCGCTGAGCCCCCATTACTCCGTCCCGGTCGC